TCATATTTTTAAGTGATAGGTCGAAAATGCAAAATTTTAAGTAATGTTTAGTCAACATTACTTGATTGTATAAGTAAAGACAGCATTAGGGTTTACAGTGTAAGATGATTGCCGGCCCTTCTTTGGGTTTCTTACCTCCTCTCTTCATTGGTAGGCTTGCTTTTGAAAAACTCAATTATGTGTTTTCCACATTCCTGGATTGACACTTCCAGTTGATTAAGGACATTTTTGTCAGTAAGCAGCTCAAAATGGCTATACATATACCTCTGTATGAAGAGGAATGGCCATTTGGCTCTCAATTCAGAGATGGTAGGGGATGGTACAGCATTTATCATGTGATGCTGGAGGCAGTAGGTTTCTTCCATAAGCTTACTAACTGCTCCTCTCTCTGCACCAGAAGTACTGTACCTTCATGAAGAAATATCTCCTCCAGCTTTGCCTCAAGACTATCATCATTTTCGCCAGGTTGAAGTTGAGGCTGCCATCTTGTACAACCATAAGAATCAACGGCACTTCTCTTTACAATGCTTCCAGTATCATTCCTTTGTGTCCGATGAGAACTGAGTGCATTTTTCCGGTTCAGATGTTCAATACGTACTTTCAGTTGTGTCAAAAGAGAGGCATATCCACGGCCAATCTGCTTTTCACCTATCATATCAACAAAACTGTTTGGATACTGTCTGACTATTTTTTGAGCAATAGTCAGACATTGTGATCTTACTGGATTTTGTTCATATTTCCGCATTTCATCAGCCAGGATTCTAACCATCTCACGTTGATCAGCAGGGGATGGTCTCTGTCCGTTCACAATAGCCATCTGTATACCTGCTGGCATTAAGTTCCAGGGTACTTGGAAGGTTTCATGCCAAGAAATTGACAAAAGTGAGCCCATAGAAGAAGAGCTAGAGCATCCTGGGCTGCTTATCGAGGAGCTTGAGGAACTTGAACTTTGAACTGAGTTTGACGAAACAGATTGGTTGGCAATAAATGCAGTGCTGCTTTGTTGCTCTAAGGATTGTATTTAGAAAAGAAAAAACAAAACAAACATCATTGCTTTGTGAAGGGCATGGCAACAATAAAGTGCTAAATTTTTATGAAGTTTAAATATGTAATTGATTACCTTGATCTTTCCAGGCACTGAGAAGTTTATGGCACTGGATAGGTCTTACAAACTCCAAGATGTCATCTTCTTTAACATACACCAAATCTTCCAAACTCTCAACGCCTACAAGCTTCTCAAACAACTTTTCTATCGTATCCTCAGGAAGACGGTAACACTGACAGGATTCTGCCTTTAAGCGCTTCCATTAATTCTGACATCATTCTACAAGCAGAAACAAATTATGAAGAACAATTACAGACAGTCCACAAAAGATATTCTGGCAGAGGACAGTAATTTGGAAGGTTTTCTTGTTTTATGCATAGAACGTCCTTCTGTTGGGAACTTAAGCAATGAATTCCCTGATCCATGAGACAATAAGACTGATACTTTTCCATGACAAAATACACAGCAGAGTAGTTCTGAACAAGGATCAACTGGATCTTTCCAAATACCATACCTTCATCATGCAACATGCATTTTTTTTTTGTAAAGTGTTCCTTTTACATTGACTTCACTGACTGCAAGTGTGTTGTCTGGCTGAAAGTTATGACAAGCAACAGATTGTTTAATGTCATCATTGTAGTCATACACTGAAAAAAATGGGAATGGGGGATTGTTGAATTTGCAAAAATGCATTTAGTATTTTAAACATGATTCATTTATGTTTCTCATTTAAAAATATTTCAGTCTTGTGCCATTTAATTAATTTTAAAGGATGTTAACATTTTTTGAATCAATCATGTCGAAATGTAATAAATTAATTATGTTTTCTCTGGAAACTCCGCCCCCTTGGAATGCACAAACTAATTAACTGCTCAGTCCGCCATTTTCTCTCTCGCTTTGGTGCTGGAAGCTGCTCGATTTCAACAGTGTGAAAAGGTAACTAACTTTGAACTTATGTGTCATTTGAGAAACATTTATTAACGCTAGTCCCTTTGAACGTTTTTATACTAATTTTATCGAGCAACCCGACGGAGAGGAAAAGTTAGTGGTAAAGTTCAAGGTGGTTAACCACCTT